ACCATCTAAAATCTAAAAGCTGTATATAAAAGTGTTGTCCATACTAATAGTCATTGATTCAAGTAGCTAGAAGGAGTTTTGACCGCTTAAACACAAGGTCTTGAATCTGAATTTGGAAGAGGCACTCTCAGTTGGATCCACCAATATAATGTTAGACTTTGATTTCGGGGTGCTTGGTGTTAAAAAAAAGTACTTTTTTTTTTGTAAATCGAGACAACTCATTCATATATTTATTTTGTATACCGTAAAATTATTTTTGAAATCATAATTTGTTTTCTATCCAAATACTTTTTTAGTCAGGTGCTCAAAAAATAAAAAGTTGCACCTATCTAATAAGAAGTCTTGTGTTTAAATTACTTGATGATAGAGCTTCCCATTTGAAACGAACTCGACTTAGGGGGTGTTTGGAAATGCTCTTAGAAGTACTTTTCAGCAAAACGAGACAAAATTCTCCATATATTTATTTTGTAAACTGTAAAAACATTTTTGAAATCATGATTTGGTTTCTATCTAAACATCCTTTTAAATTAGTTTGGATTCTTCATAAATCCTCCACGCATATCCATGTTATGAGGTTTGAGACTTTGTGTAGTATTATTGCAAATAGGTCATCTTTCATCGGAAAAGCAATACTTCTTTTTTTTTTTTGCCAACATTAACAAAACGCTAATCCAAGAGATCAAATTTCATAACAAAAGGAATAAATATGCATTACATATTCACTGGGTGCAAAGAAGAGGGGTTTCGGGTGAGAACAAGGAAGAATTTGGAAATGTTTGTGAGTAGAGAATTACGATGAGGAAGCGTGAAGGATCAAAATTTATTGGAAGAAATGGAAATAAATTTCAAAGTCAAAGGATAATATATTTGAAACTATAAATATTGTTAAATTTTTTTGTCATTCATCATACTCCCTCCTGTTCTGAATATAGGATTCAATTTGTCATGTAATTTACACTACAAAATGGATCCTACATTTAGGATCGGAAGAGTACTTTTTAAGTTTAGGTGAAAATCACAAGATTTTAAATCAGAAATTCTCATAAAAATGTATTATTATTTGTAAATCAATTATTTTCAACATCTGACGAATCCTTGTCTTTATATATCATTTTCCCTTTTATTTTTGGATTTTGCAATTTTGTACGGAGGAAAAAAAAGCGTAGTAGTATTTCTTTAAGTTTTTGTTTGGGCTAACCACTGGGCCTTGTTTCTTATTCTGAATGTGTTCTTTCGGCCTCAATAGGGTTAATCGACAATCATAGGCTTATGCTTTGGTTGGTTTTTAGCTGACCCAAAATGGTACCGTTGCGAGACGATCCAGTCCAGGACAGCACTTTAGGGTTTTAGCCTCATAAATAGATTTCTGCACTTCAAGCCTCGAACGGCGGCAACAGGCTTTACTCGAGCGGCTAGGTTCTTCCAATTGCTCTCAACCTCATCGGAAGCCGACGAAAATGGTACTCCATCTCTCCCTCATTCTGTGTTTTTCTTTGTAATTGATGGAATATTTAAATTATATTGAGTTCATCTGAATTAGTTTTATTGGTTATTGATGTCTTGGAGAGTGTTGAGAGCGAAAGCAATATATAAACTGCTCGATTCCTGTTTAGATGTTGTTTGCTGCATTGGCCTGCAGCTTGCGTTTCTTCGGTATTTGTAGGAAGACGGTTTTGAGAAAGAGTATAAACATTTTTACAATGTTGCCTGCTGATTTAAAGCTATAATACCATAGTTTGTATCTGGGGATTAATTTGATTTTAGTCAAGACAATCCTTGGTGGTTAACATGTTTCTGCATTTGTTCTTGCTCTTTTTGGATTGTTTTTATTTTAATTTGTGATTTGTAATTGATGCATTTGGTAATAATACTCTACGCATTGCATAGAAATGGGTGGAAATGGGTAGGGGAAAATCTGCATAGCAGGCTAAGAAAACCTGCGAAACTAAAGATAATGTGGCAACTCAACACGTTTTCTTTCAATTATGAGTTAATATCCTGCCACCCAAAAAAAAAAAATTGCATCGAATGTGTGATTACGTGTTTTTTTTTTTCCTGTTATCTTGCTACTTTCTCATTTTTAAGAGGCATTGTTGCATTCTATTATTTTCGGATATGATGTTGTTTTGCACTTTTGATCATTGGTTTCCTTATCTCATGTAGACCAAGAGAACCAAGAAGGCCGGTATTGTTGGGAAATATGGTATGTTAACGCCCCTCTTGTTTCAATATTAATGAATTTTGTGGAGAGGCTTTGCCTTTTGAAGTAGGATTTATCTAGAGCTAGTATAAATATTATTTTGAGATAATGATTTTAGGGACCCAGGATCCATTTAATAACAGCTAAGGAGGTTGAGATAAAATTCTTCACCCCAGCTACAGAAATAAGTTACCATTGACATTCGTTAAATTTACAATTTGCTCTTCTTGATGTTACGAAGATGTTTTGAATTTGCTGCTGCCTTGTGGATGAATATAGCTGAGAGACTAGGTTATAATTTTAGAGAGCATGAATGCTTTAAAAAGCACTATTCTATTATTTTTCATCCTCTAGTGTCTGCATTGTCGCTATTTTGGAAAAAATGAAATTATTCTATTATGAGAATTATTTAAATGAAGCATATAATTTTCACTACGTTTTACTTTTGTTAGATCTTGTTTTATAACTTGACATGCATGCCCATTATAGTCTTTGGTATTTGTATTTTCTTGCATGATCCTTTTTCACTTGGCACATATACGTTGTCATGCAACTAAATTTTGGCAGGTGTTTTTATTCCTTTTCTCTTAAATTTCAGGCACCCGATATGGTGCTAGTCTTAGGAAGCAAATTAAGAAGATGGAAGTGAGTCAGCACAGCAAGTACTTCTGTGAGTTCTGCGGGAAGGTACTTAATTATGATTTTTTTCATCACTATCATTCATAGGCTGTGATAGCTAATTATGTTTAGTCGTTCAACTTCTAATGTCTCTGCCCATACAGTATGCTGTTAAGAGGAAGGCCGTGGGTATATGGGGCTGCAAGGATTGTGGAAAAGTGAAGGCTGGAGGTGCTTACACGTTGAAGTAAGAGTCTTCGATAGTATTTTCTTATTGGGATAATAAAACTTTTAACCCCTCAACTTTGTCTTTATTATCAATTTGGTCCCTAAAGTTTAATTTTGACCAATCAAGTTGCTGAAGTTTCATACTTAATTTTATACTCTCATCGAATCAACAATTTTTCTCCAATCCATGAAGATGTTGTCGTTCATGAGTTAAATGTTTAGAACACATGCTTGTTTAGGATTATATGTCTTCAAACCATAAAGACTAATTATGTATAGCTGTGAAATTTTAGGGACTTTCTTGGTAAAAATTAAACGTCAAGAACCAAAGCGATAATTGAGGCAAACTTGAAAGATCAAAAGTTCATGATCTCTTTCTTAGTTTCAAGTCATTTATATTCTTGGAATTACAGGGCCATGACTCTGACCTGCTTAATATTTGTTGTGTTACAGCACTGCTAGTGCGGTGACAGTCCGAAGCACCATAAGGAGGTTGAGAGAGCAGACTGAGGGTTAATATCACAAGTTGTGTTTTATTTTCATTGCTTTCAAATCTGAGCTAAATTTTGACGCGTGTTTAATATTTCTTCTGTAACCATGCTTGGTTTAGATGTCAAGAAAGATTCCTCTGTTGGCTCTTGTTTATTTAAGTACATCTCCAGTTCAACTCTAGGTTCGGGTAATTGTGAGTGTGTCCTCTTGGACTATTAGTGGTACTGTCCTTGATTGAAGTCATACTATTTGTTTTTTTTTTTTTTTTGAGTGAGTAATTTAACACCACCTTGACACCTCTCATTGACAACGTTATTGATTTTGTGGTATTATCCTCAATCGTGTTAACACATTTTCTTTTAAAAGGAAGTTAGCTGTTTTTGGGTGTCGAGCAAACAATAACCCAAGCGTTCGATGTAATGGATGAATGGATTTAAATTAAAATACGTCTAAAGTGCTTAGAGTATTTGACAGTTTGAAGCTGCGATTAAATAACAAATACTAACGGGTGGTTCATACGCTCGAGAATTATGTTTTTCCCCTGAAACGTCGAATGTTTGAAAGTCCCTTGTACCAAGGAAAATATGCTTGAAAGTGCTTTTTTCAACTTATCATATTTATCCTTGACGAATTCATATCAAGACAAGTCGTACGTTACATGGGCATCAAGGTTGTGACAATTTTTTTTCCTTTTGCTTTTCTTTTTTACTTACCCAGTATGATTTTACTCGTGGAGAACCAAGTGCAAGTCATCCATACCAACTATCATTGTGCTTTTACTAGTAGTGGGTTTAGGACCTTTGTGAGGCTGACATGCTAAAGTTTGATGTTTCTGTAATTACTTCTCAATTACGAAATCCATGTGCAAGAGGATCATTTGATTGAAAATAATCTATGGCTGCTGAACCCAACAAGCTGTCAAATTCAATTGAAATAAAGTATCTTGGACATTGAATAGATGGGTATTCTGACGTAAATGTACATCTCTGCAGTTTCTAAGTGATCTTATCTACAATTATCTCACCTAAACATTCATTTTTTAAAAATGTTCATTGCAACAAAATAAGCCACAAATCTCCAATTCATGAATGAATAACTTTTTTTTAATACCATCTCATATTTTGATCTTTATTTGTTTATTTATTTATTTTGTTCACCTGCATTTCGAACGACACCAACCACTGTCAAATTTTATTTTATTTTCCTTCACATGCATTTCAATGAAACAGGAAGAAACGTTTCGAGTTAGGTTTCCCTTTTGGGTTCTGTCATTTTCATATGTACCTAAAATAATCCTACTTTATATTGTATTTGGTTGGAGATGATAAGATCATGGGACCACTAGACTTGGAGACAACCCCAATCCCAATGTTTCGAATGCTAAACTTCACTGAGCAACGGAAAACTCGAGAGTAAAGCTAAGCATGAATTCTCAATCATAGAACTGGCGGACGCAAACAACTTGGGAAAATGGAACTTTATTGAGACGTTTTCTCCTATTATTACAGGCACACCATCATTACAACAGAAGCTAAGTAAATATTTCACCAGTTCACCAGCACTTGCATCTACATTAGTATATACAAAAATGAAGTAAACATAGTAAAGGAAAGAGGGGGGAGAAAAAAGCAAAGAAAATAGATTTAATCAAATGGTCGCGATCAGCCTCCCTCTATACATGCAAGTGACCGGATTTCAAGGAAAGCAAAATGCCAATGAGATTATGACAGTGCAGTAAAACTTGAGTAGCCACCATCCTCTCCCATAATCTCAAAGCTTCTTGGCTGATACTGACAGTCTCACCTGACGGGAATTTGAAGGCTCTCATTGTCAACGTTATGATGCATTTGGTTTTGCACAGCCTTAACAGCAGCTACTCTAGCGGCATTGGCTGCTCGATTAGCTGCTGCCACAGCTCTATTCACTCTTTCATCTACTTTGGCCACATCATAGGCTTTTTCTGCCGCTCGTCGTGCCTCCTGTTTGTTCAACAGAACCACAAAATCAGTTGTGAAAGTCAATAATAACTCATATTAACGAGTAACAGTTCATTCCATGTATCAATGTACCATATAAAATCTATAGCAAGCTACACCACCATGCACAAGTTAATAATGATGCAACTCGTTCTACAGAAGTAAAATCACCCAGACTAATGACTCAATCTATAGCATTACCGAGCATATTCACAGAATCACAGCAGCCAGCAACCAAATCACCTAGACTGATAAATCTGGGCCATGTAGATGCGACAAATTATTTTAAATCATCTTTCTTTTTAAATTTAATTGTAACTGATTGAGGAACAGCTAACAATGATTAAAAAGAAAATAAATCATTAACAAAATTATGACCTGAACAGCATTGAGCACTTTGGAATGATTTACACCAACGGGAGACACAGGATAGGTGGGGTTCTGTGTACTTGGAACGTCAAGAACTCCATTTTGCCAGTACCCAGATTGGGTTTCTCCAGTTCGAAATGTATACATTCCAAGCCCTTGCCTCCTACCCTCATGCCAGGCTCCTTCGTACCGATGCCCATTTGCAAAACGATATACCCCAAATCCATGCATCTTGTCAGCAAAGTATTCACCAGCATATGTATCCCCATTTCTAAAAAAAAAAAAATAAATAAATTCCAACCAAATATTAGATAGATGTATGATTCAATTAAAAAAACAAAGCACTTGTGTATTGCTTAAAAGAGAAGCAATCCATATATCTATGAGAAACGAGAATGATATATTCTAGTGCAACTTGATGGAGCACTAATACCTAACCAGGTGAATGTACAGGATCCAACTCACTCATATTGACCAGAAGGAGTGAGTAGCACTATCTTTTCACAAGAAAAAAGAAATTGACTTGCATATGTTCAGTCACGTATCTAAAAAGTAAAATAATTACTCATTCTGTTTTCCGCATACTAGGGCTTTCAATAGAGGTAGACTACAAGGAGAGGGGAAAAACAAAAAACATTACTTAACCCAGTAAATACGTTTAATCACATAACATATTGCAAAAGACAGAAAATCCATCTAATGCACATAGGGCTATATCGGTGGAGTACAAGGCTGAAGAGTTGTCTGTCAGAGATATACCAGATCATAATCACAAATATAACAAGTCCATAGGATAGCCATGGGTCATTGCAATTAGAGCTCAGTACATTAATAGAAATCCTTTCAACCAGTTGGATTAAGTGATGATATATTGACTAATACAGAAATCACATTCAGGTTTTGGATTATACGCAATGACCTCTGAAACTGAACTAGAACAACGCATGACTAGTTGTGCCAGAGCTAATCTTTTTCAAATTTCCTGAAATCTTCGTGCATCCAAAATTAAACCTTAATCAAGTGCAGTGCCAACTTTAGCTATCACTAGAACACAGAATGTTATCAGTAAGTATGGATGGTAAGGATGGGAATGGTAGAAATGTAAACCCAGTGACGAGATCATTTGATGTGCCACTCAGAAGCATAATTATAAGGACACAGAGTAGCCTTGCATTTCCTCAATCTCTGCTTTCAGTAAGTATGGATGGTAAGGATGGGAATGGTAGAAATGTAAACCCAGTGACGAGATCACTTGATGTGCTATTCAGAAGCATAATTATAAGGACACAGAATAGCCTTTCCTTTCCTCAATCTCTGCTTTCCTCTATTTCCACTAAAAGTAGACTAACAGAACAGGCATAGCATTAACCCCATTAGCAGTTGACCTGCTTTATTTTTCATCCATCATTCTTTTCATCTCCCTTTCTCTCTAGATCTCAAACTTCATCTATATCCCCTCCCCACTGGAAAACCCCTGCCACACCCCCTTTCTTTTTGCCATATGATTGCCACTGAGTCAAAAGAAGATTCCCTTTTTCTTTCTTTCTACATCTTGTTTCAGTGTGCCAATATATAATTCCCCCTCGCTGACCACTATCCATGCTTAGGTGAAATTGCTTGTAAAATAGAACTTCATTTTTACTGCCTGCTTTATCAAACATTTTGCCGAAGCATTACGAATTTCATATTCAAGTTCATTCATCCCTAAATGATGTCCTTTAGACTGAATAGCTTGCAGGGTTTCATTGTTTGCATGGGTATAAGTATTACCAGGCATTTGATTAAAGAGTCAGTTGAATTGCTCTTCCCTAATGGCAATATGTATTTATTTTCACAATAAATATTTACTGGGTGTCTCTGACAGTCTCTGCCTTTCTTCCTCATACATCAATATTTGAAATAATCTATGATAGAAGTATCATAGATTATTCCCATTCCTTTATTCAGTTCTCCAACAGACAACCACTTTGTTTTTGTCAAATAAAGTACTAGCGTTCACCATTTTCTTCCCTTTTAAAACATCCTTCGCTATATCTTTTCATCTTTGTTATCTTCCAGGGGAGAATGGTTTCTGAGTCTACAAAAGGGGGAGAAATGAAATCTACCGTGTGACTGGTGATGGTTCAATCTAACCAGTTTCCCAAAGGCCATCCATTGCACTTGAGGAGGGTAAAGAGAAAGAAAACAAGAGACTGGTGGACAGAAAGCAAGAACCAAAGGCAGGGCAAAGGGGAAAAAAATGTGGACTGATGATTGAGAGAACCAGATAGATTTTTTTTTTTTTTGGGAGGGGGGGGGGGGGGGGGGAGGAGACTATTAAAAGTCAAGTGAAGAAACCATTACTGTCAAAGTTAGATTATATACCACATAAGCACTGCTAGTCAACTCTGAAAACATTCGAGTTAACAATTTAGGTTAAATGTGCAGCAATTTGAGCGTTGAGGGACCAATTTGGGAAAAAAAGTTGATAAGAAACCAAATTGCAACGGATAATTAACTGAAAGGACTAAATCAATTGAGCCTATAACACTTTATTCAACTGTCTCTTCACTTGTCTAGTGTCTTCTCACATAACAATGTCCCATTGATTTATCTATTTATCCCAGTCACGTAAAGTGAGAATCAAAATAGTGGAATAACAACTATCTTCTGTGCATTCGACTTAATCCTGAATTAATACTACGACGCTGTTCCTTTCATTTGATTCTAGTTCTACTTAACCCAATAAGTCGTGAAGCAGATAGTTTTCTTCCATTTAATTAAGGTTCTACCTATCACAGGTTCTGAAACAATGTTCTAAAGGTGCCTTCTGTGATCAGACATGCTTGTTACTCGTAGATTCAACATGTGGGATAATCATGCGCTTCCCATGAGCAAGGATTTCTCAACCAACCATACCCATATGCCCACATGTTTTATCTAAATAAGCAGGAATCACGCCATTTATTGGAACTTGTAAGACAATAAGACATGATGCAATAAACATGTGTTTCTGTAAATTAGTTCAGTAGTTTCAGACTTGACATAGTAGGCCACAAGCTCTTCATTTCTTCATCCGTTGTCTTCTTTCAAAAGAAACAGCAGCAATCATACTACCTCTGGGCCTATTTATAAGAAACAAAGTTATAGTTAAATTGTTTCTTATAAATAGGCACAGAGGTAGTAATACAATCATGCTAAAAAAGCAGCAAGAAACTAAATATTTAACAGTCTATAAGAACTCTACGTATCATAATTAGAAGTACATATAATCCCTTGTTCGAATTTTACCTGAAATGGTAGTGGCCAAGCCCATGCTTCACGCCCCATTTGAATTCCCCAACATATCGGCTCCCATCCTCACAGGTGTGAACTCCACAGCCATGACTCTGTCCATTGGACCATTCCCCAGCATAGACATCCCCTGTATAAAACCTGTACACTCCAAAACCTTGTCTAAGGCCTTGCCTATACTGCCCACGATAGCGACTACCCCTTGCCCATGTTTCTACTCCATATCCATCATACTGACCATCAACCCAGTCCCCTTCATACCTCCCACTCATATTATAGTAATACACCCCACTTCCAGAACACTTCCCCTTATGAAACTCCCCCTCATAGACGTCGCCGTTGCTGTACACCTGAACCCAACATCCCGAACTCGCTCTTTTCTCCGACTTTTGACGCGACCCAATCGTCCAAAACACAGGCAAAGGCGACCTCGATTTGGCTGAAGATGATTTCAATTTAATTGGGAACGAACGGGAAAGAAACAGGCGAATAGATGGTAGACGAGGAAGAGCAAGATTGAGCGAGAATAAGAGCGCACAGGAGAAGGCAAACGCCGAGAGGAAATCGAGAATGAAAGAATGACTAGGGTGAGAGAGAAGGAAGTAAAAGAACGGAAGAGACAACAACAAGACAACACGTAGATGAACTCGCAGGCGGCGAACGTGCTTAAGGCGGCGGAGGAGTCGAAACGCAGCGCTTCGAGCGGCAACTGAGATAGAAACTAAAGACGACTGGGGCAACTTGAATTGAGGGTTTGTGGCTGCCGGGAATCGGTACAAGCTAGGAGATTTTGAAAGAGACGACGAGGCTTGGGTCAAAAGGGGTCTTTTGTAGGGCGCAGTAGAAGATTGAATTTGAGGATTCTCGTTGAGGAATTGAGCGAAAAGTTGGTGGGGTTGATGATGGTGTTTCTGGTGAACCAAGGAAGGATTGAAATCGAAAGAAATGCCGATGCTTTCTTTACCGATCTGAACTTCAGATTTCTTCTGATGCATTACATCACAAAAATGATCCAATTCGCTGCTGCTTCTGTGAAATCCAAATTGCAATCTTTCTCCCTCAAGTTTCAACGAACTCGAGTTTCTTTCCTGATGTATGGTAGGAATAGCGAGTGTGTGTCGGGAAATCAATGGAGTGTGCGTGAGAGAAGTTTATGGAAAGCAAAGCAATTGCGAAACAAAAGAGACCAAGTTGAAGGAAGAGAGAAGCGAGCGAGTGGGGAGATAGAGAAAGCGTCAAAGCGCAACCGGCTCTCTCTCGCGAGGGATCGATTAATATGAATTTACAATTTGAAATTATTGAAACTAAATACCTCTTGACGTTAACTACAAAGTGCCTTGACTATCAAGAAAAATTAATTATTAAATTAAATTAGTAATTAATAAATTGATAAAGAAATCAATTTGTCATTCTTTATCATTTGGATTTTTCTTATTCTGTTGCCATCATTCTCGGGCAGAGAGGCCAAGTCTCAATCTTGTGTCATTATAAAAATAATTTCATGTAATATAGTTAAAATGTTCAGATAAAAAATTACAGGATGATTTTTGTAGTTTTATTCGATATTAATTGATATTTATCGTTTGTAAAGATATATAACAATTTTCAAATTTTTTATTTTAATTCCTATTGATAAAATGTTTTGAGAATTTATCAAATTTATTCCACATCAGCTCCCTGATCTTACTTTGATGTTATTTTTTAGTTACATTCAGCACCATTATCTTTAATTCTTTATGCTATTGGATACACTATAGATAAAATAAAAATACTAGATACACCAACAAACTAAAATCAGGGTATTAGATACACCATAAATAAGATCAATATGCTTGATACTCGTGAGAAATAAAATCAAGATAATGAATGTACCTTAACACTAATATTAATTATGTTTAAACTATGGATGTATATGGTTTATTTCTTTTTGATAATAAGATATAGATAACAAGATTAAATGATTTCATAGTTATGTAAAATATTAATAAATTAACCCACATAGACTACATTAGTAATTAAAAAACCTAAAAAAATATCTCTTGAATTTCAAAATTCTAAATCAAGAATTATTATTTGTTTTTTAGGTGTAATTAATTGCTATTAAAATAATAAAGTGGAGTAAAAAGGATTGATTCGAAACTTTGAGAGTTTTTTTTTTTTTTGGATTTGCCCATTAAAAATTTGGTTGAAAAATAAATTGCAACGATAAATATGAAAATCTCAATTATGAGACTTCATTATTAGTAAGTCTTAATTGTTATAATTAATATGAAGTTTATACTTTTCAAGTAAGATTTCTTAAAAACATACTTAGATAACTTAAATTTTTTTTTCAATTGCTGAATTTATCAAAGTTCTATTCAAATCACGTGAGCTAAAGAAAAATTTTAAAATTTTATAGAATCACTCTAACACCTTTTTTATTAAAAACCCAAAGAGATGAGGTTTTTCTATCATTTCGCATTCTATAAGAGCTCTGAACAAGAGAACTTAGCACATACTATTACGAAGTCAGACAATCAATCAAGAAGGCAACAATAAGTTAGTTTTTATATTAAATCTTCCTTCCTTAATACTAGTTTTAACCTAACAAAAAATTATTGATTTAGAATTGAAAAGTGTTAACCACAAAATAGAATATGTTACTCCTCTAGTCCTTAATATAGGAGCTAATCTTTGAGTTAGTTTTGGTCCTAAATATAAAACTCATTTCTCATATTTATCAATTTTATCTAAATTATCCCTATGCATACTCCCCCAACTATAATTAAGTAGAAGAGAGAGAGGGGGTATTAAAAAAGATAATTATGGTGTTTTAGGAAAAATGTGTCACTTTTTTTATAATTAACTAATTTACCTAACTTCTTTAATCTAATCAAATTAGTTAAATAGTTCTTATATTAAGGACCAGATAAGTAATTTTTTAGGTTGTATTTTGATAAAGTTTTACAAAAAAATTTATTACAAGTATGTTATGAAAACAAAAAGTTATTAATCTAGAATTAAAATGTGTTTAATTGTAAAATAAAACATGTTACTTTTTAAGATTGTATTGTGATCAAGTTTTATTCAAATTAAATACTTATTACAAGTATGTTGTGATGACAACAAGTTGTGCATTTATTCTACCAACAAAAAAAGTTGTGCATTTAAAATTGAAACATGTTAACTGTGGGATAAAACATGTTAATTTTAAGGTTGTATTGTAATTAAATTTTGTTCAAAGATTTTTTGCAACAGTGTTTTAGAGACATAAAGCTGTTAGTTTAGAATTGAAACTCGTTAAATGCATAATTGAATTTTCAATGTTGTATTGTGATCAAGTTTTGTTCAGAAATTTATGCAAGCATGTTATAAAGATAGAAAGTTGTTAGTTTAAAATTAAAATATCCTAATTGCAAAATGAAACACGCTAGTTTAGAATTATTCTCTTGTTGTTTCTAATGAAAGGGACATTATATTCATCTTATAAAATTTTAAAATCTTTCTTTGGATCATGTGTCTTGATTAGGAGTTTGATTAATTTAATAACCCAAATAAGAATTTGGATTATTTAAGTGTCTTTTTAAAGGATGTTCCCTATTTTTAATTTATTTCTTAATAAAATTTTAGTGACCTAGTTGTCATTAAATTAAAATTTTTATGCCTAATTGTCAATCTCCCAAAATTATTTCAATTAATAAAATCAACTCATGAACTTCTAAGTACAAAAATGAAATTAAATTCTTTCCGGTGCATCAAAAACAAAAATGAAATTAAAAATCAAGTAAAATTATACGAACTGCATGTTACTAAAGAACTATAAGGACTTTTTTTTTTTTTTAAAATAAAGATATGAGTAATTATTTGCTCTCCTGTTGTTTTAATTTTTCCTCTATCAAGACAACATCTTCATGCCAGGAAAGATCACCCCGTTGTTGTTGTTACTATTTTACTTGTGCATACTTTTTTAAATATGAAAAAAAATTTTAGTAAAAATTTGATGCTGATTAGTCAATTATTATTATTATTATTATTATTATTTGTTGGGATAGACCTCAATATATTTTTTTTTGGGAGCCTCAGCCTCCATGAATTATTTATTACAGGATGTTCAATTTTGAATTCTTCCCTAGCGTTGACAAGCCGTCCGTTGCTTATGAGTGCTTGACATAACCAACAACTGCTTTCGCCTAACAGCATATCATAAGAGGAATTATAAATAAAAAGAACTCCATTAAAATTAAATAATTTCTCTAATCCTAAATATAGGGACTAGATAATTAATTTATATATATTATAAAAATTAGTTAAGTTGATTATTTTTAATAAATATGTGTTAATTTTTTTTAAATACACTTTGATCATTATTTTATTCATGAAAACTCCTTTTTATTTATATAATTAATATGAATAGTTTGCCAATTGAGCCACAAGCTGAAACATTCAAGTCTGGCCCAAAAAATAATTGAAACATTCAAGGAAATTAAACTGAATTGGAAGCATGAACAAAGACCATTCAAGAATAAAAATTAATTTGCTTCAGAACAAAGCAAGATTTCTATAAATTGGTTTTAAGATATTCAACCAGTTGTCTTGATTTTGAGATGTCACTAGGCACGGGTGTTATAAAAATTCGTGAAATTAAATTCATTTTCCCATGAAATAAGTCAATTATTGATTACAACAAATTTAAATTTTAAATAAGGGTTAATATAATTTTTGAAGCATGAAATTTGGGATAATTTTGATCTTGGTCCTTCAAATTTTAAGCACACAGTTTCAGTCCCTGGATAGTCCTTGGAAGTGTAATGGTATTACAATCTACTGAAGTGTTTTAAGTAGTGTGAAAATGATGCTGTGGACTCACCAAATGACACATAACTGGGTCTTATATGGATAACAGAAAAAAAGGCTAGGTCCTCAAAATGCAATGCAGAGAATAATTCTACAGAGGGGAATGAGTTCTGAAAAATTACAGCGTATTGGACAATTCCTTAAACAAATAGCAAGAAAAAAAAGGGGATAAATAGTTGCATTTTGAGAACATGTTTTTTTTCTCCCTCTATTATCTACACAAGATCCAGTTAAGTGCTATTTGGTGAGTCCATATTACATTTTAACGCTGTTTACAACACTTTAGCAAATTATAACACTATTATATTTCTAGGGATTAATATTTTAAGAAGGATTAAATTCCAAAGACTAAAACTATGAATTTGAAATTTGAAGAACCAAAACTAAAATGGGCCCAAATTTCAAGATAAAAAATTATATTAACCCTCTAAATATGGTTAAAACTAATTACTGATAAAATCATGAATTGTTGATAAATTAAATTTATTTTGGGCTTGTAATGTCTACTGAGCTTATTAAGAAAAATCTGAATGGACTTGCATGATTGAATCCTCTTACCCTAGGATGTGGATCAAAACTCTTACGCCAGTGAGGCTCACCGGTCAGGTGGGTTTCAATTGGGTCAATTTTTGATCCAAAAACATGGGGCGTTTTTCGGCCCAGAAATATTGAGCTCCATTGAATGATGGCCCAGGTGCAGCGCCGGAGGAGGAAGGAGGAAGCAAAGTGGGTCACAAGCGTTTGATTCATCAATGCCCTCTTTCTCTTTAAACACCCATCCCTCAATTTTCATACTCTCATAATCATACATTGTCATGTCTGTTTCTTCAATATTTCTATAATGGAGGAAACTCACATCAAAGTTATGGAGTGATTTTGGTCAAGTTTAAAAGAGTAAATAAACAAATAAAGTAGCCATTTCAAATAAAAAAACTTAAAGAGAAGGAGGCACTTGTAAGTTGAAACAAAGATGTTATGAGACCTCTCCTTATAAGTGGGAGGTTACAGATTCAATCCTGCTTGTAATTTTACTCCCTATTTAAATTAGCGGTAAATAATTGTGATTTTAGATAATAATAGATTTTATAAGCGATACTAAAACTATCAATGATGTTGGTTAATCTTGATTTTTGTTTGGATAATTTTTTTATATTAGAAGTGACTTCAAAAATTGTGATTATGTTTGGTTTTCATTTATTAAAATTACTTATGAGTGCATAATTACAGAAAAGGGTATGAATTTCATAAAGCTGTTTACATTTTCATAATCATTATATTTAATAATAAAGGTTATATAATATAATTTAAAGTAAAATACATCAACATTCCTTCTATCCAACTTAAATTATAGAGACTTCCCTCTTATTTTGAAAGCCTCTATGGACCTCCCTTAAAATCA